AGAGATTAAGAAACATTTAAACTACGTACAATGAAGTTAATAGGTCTCGATTGACAACTAGAAGGCCATCTCCTTAATACTGCTGGTTCGAATTTTTTTTATTTATTCAGAATTTCTTCCCCTAAACTCTTTAATTTGCATATTGCTGCGCATGATTTTTAAAATGTAGAAAAAATAGGTACATCGACACTGTTTATATTTTAGTTTTGCATTTTAATCAATTATTTTACACTAATTACATAATTTTATTTGCTTACAGTTTTAAGTTACCTCTAGTGCAATGTTCACTGCATTTTTTCAAGATTTTGTTTTGGGAGGTAAGTCGTTTTGAAATTTTTTTGCAAAAAAATCGATTTGTCGCTCTTCGTTTCTTTCGTTAATTTAATTTCAGCAGAGGGCTCGTTTGCGTTTTGTTTTAAACAACACGCTTCTTGTTTGTCATACATAATCGTGTTGCAATTGTTATACTACCATAGCTTATACATAATATACGTTATATTTTTTTGGTTGATAACACCAGAGTAAATAACAATGTTTTTTTTTTCTTAAATGAAATCTATTTTCTCTTTTCAGAACAAATTGGTATAATCGGCTACCAATTTTCGCAAACGTAAAAAACAAAAGACGTTTACTAACAATTGGTGAACTAAAACTTCAATAATTGTACTTTTATAATCGCTTATATTAATATATTTGTGTATATTGAATGAAAAACAACAAAAAAAAATATACAAAACGTTCCGCAGTTAATGGGAAACCAGGTGGTCGAAATTATTAGTAAACCAACTCGTAATTATTAGTACTGATACGCAAAAAAAGCAAAGGAATAATAAGTGACGAGGGAGACGGGGTACGAATTATTTTTTTAAGTAAGTGAAAATGCAGCGACTCCTATTATTCTTATTATTGTACATTGCATTTCTTTTTTGAAAGAAAAAGAAAGAGTAAAAATTGTGTAATCGTTTAAATTGTATTTACTTGCACAAACTAATGCTCATATATTAATAATATTGCCTTTCAAAGAGATAATTAAGTACAGTTATAAAACTCAGTATTTATTTATGGAAAATGTTCTATTTTTGTTATCTGTTTCTACATAAATTTCTTTTTTTCGACAGTTTTTGTTTTGGCACTGTAAGAATATTAAAGACTGTAAGAAATATCTCAAAAAAGTAAAAAAAAACATGTTGCGCACATCTGACTTCGATTACCGATGTGCGATGTAGGTTCAAATCTCTCTCTTCACAAAACGCTTTTTTTTTCTCTTGCGGTGCTAGTTTATCAAAACAAAATCCAGTGACTTTTTAAGGGTAATTATTAGAAAGTAAAAATAATTATTTTATTTATTTTATAAAGATTAACGACAAGAAGTATTGCATTTGTTTCAAAATTAAATGTATATAATTAGAATTATTACTATTTGAAATAAATAAAAAATCGAAATATTGATCCAATCGTGTGTTTAAAATCAAACGAAACAAGTGATATTTTAATTTACAATTTGATACTTTAGTATATTTCTCTCTAATTGTTTTTGTAAAGAAATTAAATTAAATTGTGGCATACGTATTTCTGGTAGGAGATCGGGTAACTTANCATATGAAATAATTATTTTCAGTCCATTCCAAACGTAGTCTAGAACTACAGATGAAATTGGTAGACGGTGGATATATTACAGAAGCCATAGAAATAGCAACAAAATTAAAAGAACATTATATAAGTAAGGATCTAATAATTAAAACTAAATTTAGCTATAATAGTAATATACCTACTCATATGTTTAATTGAAAAAAAAAATAATTAATTAAAATAAATGAATCGACAGGGTAACTATAAAAATACTACTTGTTGAAAAATTTGTCGTCGAAATGTGAGAGAAAGGTTTTTATAATAATAAGCGTGATGATGACATTATTATTGTATACATTAAATATTAATAATAAAAAGATTGTCATTAAATACAGGGATGATATGTTCTAGATTAATAAGAAGTTATCGAAATGTGTCAAAACTAAAAGAACTGATTACTGCCATCGTAAATGTGTATTTGGACTGTATCCAAAATGAAATAAATTTTGTGTACAACACACTCTTTCACTTAAAACTAGAAAAATGGCATCGCAGTAGTTATAGGGTGCAGCGTGATACACAAATTTATGTTTGAACTGTCAGCAAGGATTTCAGTACTCGTTTATGACACCTAAAGATACAAAACAAAACGAAAGTTTGATCTTAACTGTTTATTATGTAAATGAAAATTTTAATTCAACACTAAAATTACATTTTAATGCGTTTTACGCCTAAAACTGCAACCTTCTGTTAACCTAGCTTTGCCTCCAGTTGGTGTGCACAATATCGTCGAACAACCTTTGCATGGAACAGGAGACTGGGCGTGAGAAAACAGGGTCGAAATAGCGTAACATCCTGGACACTTTACATCCATAAAATAACTGTTTGGATGCTGAACCAGTCGCTTCTTTTTATGCGCCTTGCGCTGTTTTTCTGGAGGGGGATGGAGTAAATCCACTGCGAGAGGCATCTGAAACGGATTGAAATTATTTTAATTTATCCGTAATGGGAACACCTATTCACATTATTAATACTACAACATGTAATTGAGAAAAAAGACTGCTGTGAATTTTTCAAGTGGACGACATAACCACCAAAACATATGAGTTGCCTGTAGGTAAGTTACTTTAAATTTGTGGACGGTAACCAGGTCTTAATGGCTTTATATAGTAGAAAAATTGTAGTTTCAACTTATTATACCTTCGTGTAGCTACGAACGAACTTTTTCTATCAAAAATAAAGGCTTTAGCAGCACGTGGCGTTAACCGCACTTCGCGAGATCGCCGTAGGGAAAAGGAACGTGAAGTTAGCAAAATAATAAATTACCAACTTATGTAGTGGTGACAACAAAAGCTAATTAAAATCACACATTTCCGATTGCTTTCGATATTATCTTAGTGTTTTTATCAGTTTTACGTTACCGGTATTTTTAGTTAATAATATATTGCTAACTTTACAGTATAATCTAAACATATGTGCCAAATCACTTTAATACATTTATTCATTAACAATTGCGCCGCCGCCAGGTATGACCTTTTTTTTATTATTTAGGAATATTTAAGTAACCTGAACCTGAAATAATATACAAAATGTTTTTATTTGGGTAAGTAGATGTACTTTTTAAAATGTAGTTTTTTACGTTTACATTGTGTAACTTTAATAATACAGTTGGCAACATTGGCAGTTGACAGGTATGAACATAGATAATAGATACGAGCCTGTTCAACACAGTAATAATCGACCTACGTTCTATGACCTACCCTGTGTATATTTATTATCTATGATAATAATCATAGATATATATATCTTTAATTTATGGATAATGATGATCTATTATCATAGATATCTATTATCATAAAAATGTTCCCCCTATACTTTTATAATCAAATTTGAAATTATCGATTGGTTATCCAATATCCTTTTTTTTTAAGGAATATAACTTGGTGTATTGTTTATACGAAAGGTTTTTAAATGTTGTTATGATGTTGGTTTTATGTTAAGTAAATGAGTTAGGTATTGTGATGAATTTTTATTTTATAGGTTATGTGCAGTAACGTGCCGGTGCCGGTGATATTTACGTTATATTGTAACTAATATTTTAAATTAACATTAATTAGTAAAAATGTCGGGTTTTTCTAACAAAATAAACGGTGTTCGTGCCATTACGTTGGAGCCACAGAACATAAAGTTTTCGGTCTTCAGCACCGAAGAAATGAAAAAATTATGTATAACAAAAATCACCACCCCTTTAACGTTCGATGAGATGGGACATCCTTTGATAGGGGGTCTGTACGACAAGACTTTAGGTAAATAGTGAGTAGTGTTTTTTTTTACATTTTTTTTTAAATTGTTTTTGTTTTTGTCATGTAGGACCATTAACGGATAGAGGTGAAGTTTGTGGTACATGTTTTAAAAATATATACAACTGCCCTGGACACTTTGGTTACATTGATTTGCCATTGCCTGTTGTAAATCCTCTTTTCCATAAAACTGTCGGTACAATTATGAAAATGACATGCTTGTCATGTTATGGTTTACAGTTACCTGGTAAGTGTTTAGTCAAAATATTACCAGCATTATATGCATATGAAATAATTATTTTCAGTCCATTCCAAACGTAGTCTAGAACTACAGATGAAATTGGTAGACGGTGGATATATTACAGAAGCCATAGAAATAGCAACAAAATTAAAAGAACTAATTTCTAAATATGAATCTATCAGTAGTGTTCCAGAAGATGAAATAAAGTTTATAAGGGAGTACGAAAAATTGGTTACAGCTGGTACTTAATTAGTTGACTTTGTTACAGTGGCAAATTTATTTATTTGCTTGTGTTTGTTTAAGAATTGCCAGACACTGAAAAACATCCAAATAAAAATACCGAGTGTATGAAGAACGCTTTTCTATCTGATGTTCTATCAGAGTATAAGAGTCGAAAGATATGTTTGGAATGCAGGGAACCTCTTGACAAGATACAATTTGTAAGGAAGAAGTTAACATTGTATCCAAACCCAAGAAAAACCAATGCAGAGTATGTTTTTATTTAGTTTTTGTTTTTGATCATTAATAAGGACTTAAAATAATTTTAGCGACGATTTCAAATTGGGAGGACCTAAAAACATTACACCAACAGAATCACGGTATGTAAAACAGTTATTACATTTGTTTCCAACAGTCACTTGGGTACTAAAATGAAAAAATTATTTGTTTGATTTATTTCTTGAGAAATAAACTTTGGTTTTAACATTTTAGATGTTGGAAAAAAGATAATTTTAATGTAAATATTACACCCATTAGCTTAGTTGAAACGTCTCTGTAAAGAATGGTGTCAATTCTGGACCTTTTTGATTTTTAATTTGATACTTTGGGGCATGTGCATTTCTGAAATGCTCTTAAAGATAGATAGTATATTTACCAAAATCAGACAATATGATAATTTTCTTTCAGGGAAATTTTAAGAAAAGTCTGGGAAAAAGAAAAGGATTTTCTTAAATGTTTGATACCTTTATTTGAAAATGATAACATGGAATATCCAACAGATGTGTTTTTTATGGAGATAATTTCAGTGACTCCGAACAACTTGAGGCCTGTAAGTACTGTATTTTTTATAATCCATAATTTTATTCTTTCACTGTTAATTTTAATGGATTCTCGAACTGATTGTGTTTGTCTCTCTTTTTTTCATTTTGATAATAATTAGTTCACTGTTTTTTTTTACTTATGTGGCAGGTGAAATTAATAAAAAAGCACTACTGAAATTAGTTTACAATTCCTACTTAATTAATTTTGTAAAATAATTTAGTATATTTTAGTAATATGTATTCTATCAAACAATATATTTGCAGGTAAATTTCGTGGATGGTAGAATAACAGAAAATCAACAAACTGGTATTTATAAAACGATAATCCAGGATTGCATGCTGTTACGAGCAATAATTCAAGTATTTAAGAAAAAAGGCGATACGAGCGCCCTCCCAATAGAAGCAAAGGTAATCTCATTTATTTCGATGGCAAATAATTTTAAACCATTTTTTGTCACTTTTGCCCTAGTTATTGTGTACGTAATTTGTTCTTGTTGTGATTAATTTACATACTTATTTCCTGGCAGGCTGTTTACAATACTGCTCGTGGTCAAACTCCCCTCGAAAAACTAAAGAATGCTTGGGAATCCTTGCAATTTAACGTAGACAATATAGCGGACTACAATGCTGGACGTATAACTTCCCAAACAGGAATGAAGGGTTTGAAACAGGTTAGTATTATTAAAACCTAATCGTAAGATTGTCAACATAAAATTTTTGTATTTTTTCTTACTTGCACTAAGATATTTTATTATATAAAAAGGTTATTGAAAAGAAAGAAGGAATTTTGCGCAAGCACATGATGGGGAAACGTGTAAATTTTTCCGCCCGGTCCGTTATCACTCCCGACCCTTATCTGAACGTAGACGAGATCGGAATTCCGGAAGTTTTTGCGAAACAACTGACTTATCCTGTTCCGGTCACTTCGTGGAACGTGGCGGAGTTGAGGAAGATGATCATGAACGGTCCAGACAAACATCCAGGGTAAGTAGTACAACGTATATGAAGTTTTTAATTCAAATTTCTATGAAATTTTTGTGGTACACTATAAATCTTTTGAGGATTTTGTACTAAAAATGGAACAGTTCTAAATATTTTTAAGTGTTTTTTTATTACAAATCGGTCCAAAATGAAGGGGGGTCGTTTGAAATTTAAAGATGAGTCCAGTAGAGTGTCATATAAAAGATCCTTTCGTATATATTGCTAAAGGATATAATGTTTCTTCCTAATTGTAAAACCACATTAATGTTTGATTTATGATTAGAAATTTGTGAAGAAATCTAACTATAAAATAGTTTATACAGATGGAGAGTTCTGTAGATATAATAAAATTGGGCTTTTATTTATATTTCAGAAAGTACGAAACCCTCGAAGGGCTTTTTTATATACGAAATATTTCAAAAATTTAAAAAGAACATTTTTTAATAATATTTTTTTGTGGTGATTCTAGAGCGAATATGGTAGAGTTTGAGGACGGTTCGTTGGTCAGAATAAATCCGAAAAATCCTACTCAGAAACAGGGTATATTAAAGAGACTTCTCACCCCAGATGAAAAAGACACTAAAGCATTTCGAGGAGTCAAAAAGGTATAAATATGTACATAATTTTCAAATACGAATGTATATCTTTAAATTCCTAGATGACAAAAGTGAGCTCGAAACTGTTAGCATCATTGCTGCGAGTGGTCAAAATCACTTTCTTTGTGTTAAAAATTGTTTGAAAATTTAAATTTAAGGGAATTGTTTGTAAATAGGTATGCAACACATCATACACTTCAGCATAAAAAATTGCTGATACTAACCTCGTAATACAATTTTGCCCTGTTACCTTTACTCTCTTTTTTTTATTTATCTTTTAGACATTCTAAGAGTGTAATTAAACGTTTTTTTATGGTAAAGGTACACAGACATATGTGTAACGGAGACGTGGTCCTAGCCAATCGACAGCCGACCCTTCACAAACCCAGTATAATGGCGCACACTGTTAGGATCTTAAAAAACGAAAAGACCATTCGTGTTCATTATTCAAATTGCAAGGCGTACAATGCTGATTTCGATGGGGACGAAATGAACGTGCATTTTCCACAAAATGAATTGGCCAGGAGCGAGGGGTACAATTTGGGTGAGTTTTACAATAAACATTGGGTTTGAGGGTGTAAAATGGAAAGGTCAGGAATATTGTATAAATTTTTAACCAGTGATTATAAATGAGAAAATATACTCATGGCCTATGAAAAACCCTAAAACCAGTAATAAATTTAAATTAAACAATAGAAAAAGAATTATAAGTTATTGTAAAAATATTTAAAAACTTCCATTGAAAATATTGAAATCTGATTACTATCGATCACCTTAATAAATAAAAATAGTTATTTATGAACTTATTNTATTTTTATTAACTCCTTCGTTAATCCTTCATTCCTTTTTGTCCTTTATTTCTTTATTTTGCTTCTTATCTCCTCGCAAGTTTTTTTAATTAGGTATTTTGTTTGACTATTAAAGCTTATTTTTCTTTCTTGTATACGTAGCTGCCCCTGAATTGGAAAAAATTGGACTTGAGGGCCATTTTGAAAGAGAGCGCCGCCAAATGTGTTTTACACGAGGTCCCAGACATAAAAAGAGCTATCACGTACATGAAAAAAGATCAGCTGACCCTAAGAACTGACGGAATTAATATAATTGTAAGTTCTTTTCTTATTCTCTATAATCGCTATATACAGAGTGTTGCGTTTGAAATCCACTTGAATTATTTTTTATTATAAAATAACCAAGAACAAGCGGGTTAGAATAAATATATCTGTTTATTGTTAATTCTATGTTTGAAGTTCTCGAGACACTCTGTATATTACATTTATGTAGATGAAGAAACTTTTTCTTATAAATTGTTTATTTGTTTATTATTTTTTTAGGAAATGTTCAAGTACAACGAATTGTTGGATTTAAACAAATTATATTGCAATGATATCCATAAAATGGCTGAAACGTACGGTATCGAAGCAGCTGTGAAAGTATTAGTGCAGGTAAATATTTTACAACGCTCTGTAGACTATTAACAATCCGTATCACGCACGGTCGATATATTACATATTTAGAAATTAATTTAACTTAAAATTTGTCTGTAGGAAATTACTGACGTGTTCGAAGTATACGGAATTAAAGTGGATCCTAGACACTTGTCGCTGATAGCAGATTACATGACTTCTGGGGGAGCGTTCGAACCCATGAACCGAAAGGGGTTACAAAATAGCGCTTCGCCCCTCCAGCAAATCAGCTTTGAAGCATCTTTACATTTTCTAAAGGAATCTACCATAAGAAGTAGGTTTTTTGCATTTAATTATCTTTTTTCTCGATTAAATATATTTTTTATTATTGTTATTTTAATTCCAATGCATTATTGTTATAGCATATTCATTTGGTTTTGTAAATTTATTAAGAAATCATTTGTTTCATAATTTTTCTTTTTAATAAATAATTTGTTGCAGGCAGAGAAGATTACCTCTCCAATCCGTCATAAGAAAATATAGCAGAACAGTTTTATTGTATTTATAAATATATACCTTATTTAATTACATCTTAAAATTTGTGACTTTTAGCGCCTGTGATATGTAAAAAATATACTCGTAATTCTGTTCCTTTCTGTAATAATTTGATTTATTTTGATTTAGTCTATTGGGGAACCAAGTACGCAGATGACGCTGAACACTTTCCATTTTGCTGGTCGTGGTGAAATGAATGTGACTCTCGGTATACCCCGTTTACGTGAAATCCTCATGTATGCATCAAAATCGATGAAAACTCCGTCTATGGAAATACCCTTCAAAAATATACCAAATTTGGAAAAAGAAGCCGAAAAGTTGAGGAAGAAACTGACCAGGGTAACGTTGGAAAATGTACTCGAAAGGATCGAAGTTTCCGCTCAATTGGGCGTCAAACCAGTCAGGTCAGATATNCATTAGATCAGATCTGTAATTTCGTATACTACTTAAAACATTTTTATTTATCTATGAGTTTTTAAATTTCAACGGTCGTTAATGTCAAACGTAGGTTAGGAGAAGAACAAGGTAACATTTTTTACTTTTTTAATTTAAAAATCTTAGTTTATTAATCAATTAATCCTTTTGTGCATTTTCATTAGTAAAGATGTCATGTTAACGTTCAATTCGACATGGGTATTAAACATGTTTGGTCCATTTTGTCACCTTACTGTGAAAGAAGACCTTTGTATGAACTCCAGGGCAAAACCATAGCCATTGATTTATCTTGTTGGATTTGTGAAGCCCAGAATGTTGTAGATTATTATGTTCAACCACGAATGTACCTCAGGTGAGTTTTATTTATTTAACATTTTTTGTATTAGTGTGGAAACAATTACAGTAATTATAATGATTTACTTGGTTATAGTACTTCTTTATTTGCAGATGCCGCTTGTGCATATTAATATATGGGAATGCTATTTACATTAACAAATAATTATTAATAAAATTATTGAATCTAATGATGTTGGCTTCTGCCATTATAAAGTTTCTCTTCGTTTCTCATGCAACTAATTAATTTTTATCTGTGTGTTCAAGTTCTCCAGAATCTTCTGTTGTATTGTTTTTTGGTGTGAATTCTTCCTCTAAATCAAAAGTTTGCTCTGCGTCCATGGGTTGGGACATTTCAGACGAGGTTTGGTGCGTTTGTTGAAGCATCTCCTCAAGTTGTCTTTTCAAACTGGAATTTTCACTTTCCAGGCTAACTCTTTCACTCATCAGAGCTCTATTATGATTATGAATGATAGATATCTTCCCTTCTAACGAAGCCTTTTCCCTTTGGTGCCTCAATTCAACCACTGCTTGCTCCATTTGTTTCTGTATACGTCCCAGTTCTTCATTTGCCCTTTTCACTTCTTCTTGTAAGTTCTCGTTATCATTTTGAAGCACCACGAGACGTTCGTCCACATTGCCTCTCAATGTTTGAATTTCTGTTAATAAATTCGATTTGTCTGCTTGCAATTGATCCATTTCGACAACCATCTGGTTGATCATTTTCACCTTAAATTCGAGTTCGCCTTTCACATTCTGATGTTCAATTTTCAGTTTGTCCAATTCCTCCTCTTTAGTTTTGAGGTCATTGTCTATTTCGCTGTGAGCTTGTGAAAGAATGTTGACGTCGTTCTGTTTGAAAATGAGGTCCGCCCGAATTTGTTCGTTTTCGAGAGATAGTTTTCTATTTTCGTCTAGCATTTTGACCATTTCCGCTTCTTGGGATTCCAATTGGAGCTTTAGGTCTTCTATATGGGACCTGGCCATCTCCAACTCGCTCTCTAAAGAAGAATTTTGAGTTTTGCCTGAAGATGCTTCGCTAGGCCCGGCTTCATTGTGGGTTTGCTCGGAATTATCCGATTTAGAGCTACTACTTTTGTGAGAGGATCTGCTTTTGAAGAATGTAACTAGTTTCTCTTTTAAATTGACCCTTTTTTCAACTACCTGAGGCACTTCTGCGATCGAGTTCAATTGTTGAGTCTTAGGTTCTTCGCTGTTGCCCATTTGGGATTTGAGTTGCGCGTATTCTGTACGTAAAACGGTCATCTGCTTCATTTGACCTTCCAGGTCTTCGCTTTGGGACAAAGTGTCCGATACATTTTCCATTTTTTCGTTTTTTTATCGAATGTATGAGGCTTGAAAACTGTAATTTTGACGGATACGGCCGAAAACAAAAAACTTTTTGACACAAAAACAAAATTTCGTACACGCACTAAAATCCATCATACACTGGAGTTTTTTTTTAAACGATTTAAAAAAGATAGTAATCAATAAAAATTAAAGAAATGATTAAGTATCTAATTGTTATAATTTTTTCTTTAAGTAATATCGGCATCGTTTTCTTATTTTTTTTAATTATAGAAATCTGTATTTCCGTACCTGTTATCTCCTATTAATGGATGTAAGTCCAGTTTTTGTGCTAGAGGGGAAAGCCCCTGGTATGAAATACGACACGATAGCTGCTCGAAATGCGTTACAGTTTAAAGGTTCGAGACCTAAAGACAAAGATGAAAAAGTTAACAATAAAAAGGCCAGTGGAAAGGACCGTACTCAGTTTCATTTTGTGCTGAAGAGATGCGCTGAAATGCTGGATTATATGGGTCTGGCTTGTATTACCGGAAATGGAGAAGCGGAAGCCATGTGTGCCTATCTAAATAATGACGGGGTAAGTCGCAAAAATTATTTAAACATGTTAAGCATTTTACTTATGTATATACTTTTTAATACGAATTCTTAGGCATGAAGGTCTAGTCAGAGACATATTAGAGGCAGAAACAGGAGTTAGGAGGGGTAGAGGTAGACCTAGATTAGATTACTGTTCGCAAATAGTTAAGGATGTGGGTTGTTCTAGTTTTAGGGAAATGCGAAGTTTAGCTCAGGATAGGAAAGAGTGGAGGTACGTGTCCAACCAGTCTTAGGACTGACGACCTTATAATGATGAATGATAGATAAAAATACAAATGAGAAAAATAGAAAATAATTCCTTTCTCTGGAATTGCTGCACAGCTTGTAATAAAAATTTAATGTGTTCTTCATAGTTCAAAAATATTCATTTATACTTCTAGATAAAACATTAAAAACATTAATATTTCTTTTATCATATGAGAACATTTTCTTTTTCAAGGCAGGAGTTAGTTTTTATTGAATTTTGTTTGAAAATATTTATTGCTATACGAATTAATATCAAATTAAATTAAATAAATGAGGACGATAATCCCATTAAATTTAATATTTTTGTAAGCTAGTTGATGGATGCATCAGCCAGGATTCTGACTGTTTTGCATACGGGGCCAAAGTGGTTTACAGAAACTTTTCGATATCCCAACAAGGGACACACGCTACTAGCGGGGGAGCAGTCGACATTTACGATATAAGAAAAGCACACAAAAACATGGGTAAGAAATTTTTTTTTTAATAAATATATACGAACCTTCTAATTTATTTATTTGTAAATGTGTTTTCGAAAACTATTTACTTTTTGAGATAAATATTTTATAATGCAAATTAATAATTTGTAAACGCAAAATAGTCATTTATAAAAGTGTGTTATAAACGCCCAAATATATATTTTTTATGTCTATCAAAATATATACTTAACTATTAATACTTAAATTATCCTCATAATAATAGGATTTGGAAGGAATAAAGTTGTTGCATTGGCAATTATTTGTGGATGTGACTATTTTGATGGAATATTGGGTGTTGGTAAGGATTCAGCAATGAAACTATTTGAAAAAGTCACAGACGAAGAAATACTGGAACGGCTACGGAACTGGAAGAAAAAGACGTCTTTCTACGAAGAACTTGAAAAAAAGATAACAGATAAGAAAATTTGCACTTCTTGTGGACACAGTGGAAGACTGCAGAATCATAATAAAATGGGTAAGGATAATTTAATACTGTTGACATTCGATAGTATGACATTGCATTACGGAAACTCCGCGTAATGTGAACAGCATGTTTTTGTTTGACAACCGTTTACCATGAACAAACTAAACCTTCACTTATAGAAACGAATGTTCATTGGTCTTAAAAATCAGAAAACTAGCAACATAGTTAATTAATTAGATTTATTAAACTGTGGATTATTCGCCAATTTACGTTGAATTTTTTTACTTTATATCTATAATATTAATGTAAATATTACTTAAATATTATTATTACTTTTTATTTTTATTGTTAGGTTGTGTAGAATGTAAAACGAATAGCGGCTGCGATTTTACTCGGTTTAAAGACGAAAGAGCTGAAATAAAAAACGAACTGAATATGCGCTCTAAAGCATTAGCCGACCCGAAATTTCCTCACGAAGATTTAATTAATGAATTTTTTGTAATGAAAGATAACGTTTCAAAATTAGAACTAAAATGGAAAAGGCCAGACATGATTAAGTTTGTGGTAAGACAATTTTTATTAACATAATTAGTTCTTCCCCCCCTATCAGTCACTGTGAACTCGAAACTGTTAGGAACATTGCTGCGAGTGGTCGAAATTCACTTTTGTTAACAATTTGCTTAATCACTTTCTTTGTGTTGTTAAAAATTGTTTGAAAAGTTAAATTTAAAGGAATTGTTTGTAAATAGGTATGCAACACATCGTACACTTCAGCATAAGAAATTGCTGATATTAACTATCTAATACTATGCCCTGTGCTGACAGCACTCATAATTTCCTTTATGTATAATATTTTAAGATTCTGTTCCAGCAAGTGATAAAATAGTGTTAATTGTTTGTTTTTTTTTTTTAGAAATTTACACATAAATATTTACAGTGGGAAGAAATTTATTCATTTGAAAAATTATTTCCCATTCTAACGAGATGGCAACTTCTTAATTATGAGCGTTTAGAAAAATGTAAAAATAAAGGAATTGTCTATCCAGAATTCATTAAAAAGAAGAGAAATCNATTAGTTTGTGTACTTTATTCTGAGATGTCTATATTTTACCTAATTATGCAGTCAGTACTAATTGAACTAATTCTGAATAGTTGTATAATGCAATAAAAAATGTAATTAATATATATTTATTTTTTCCATTGCTTTAAAGGCGTTCCAAGTTATGAAATAATATGGACTGATAGAGACAAACACTTTGAAAATCTTATACCTGAAGAACAACTTTTGAACATTGATCAGATGAAGTTATGGTCCTCTGTGGAGCCCCAAAACCTTGTTCTTAACGCTTATCCTGACCTTGTGCATGCATTCGAACAGTCAAAGGTCAAACCTAACAAAAAACCAACAAAAAGGAAAAAGAAATTGGAGCTGGGAGCAGTAGATGAACTAGAAAATATTTTGGCAAATACGTCAATCACAGAACCACCGAAACCAAAAAGAAAAACCACGAAGAAAAAGAGCGAAAAAGCTGAAAATAATCATAATGATGAGAAACATACTTCAACTACGAAAAGTTTGGATTTCTTTTTTTCAAAAAACAAAAATGAGGACAACAAGGAAATAGATAATGTTGCTTTCTCTCAAGAACAAAAAGAAATTAATATTAATAATTGTTCTACACCTAGAAGGAATAGTTTGGATCTAGAGTCACTTTGGATGAATTTGTCTTCTTTGGAAGACGAAGAAGATGACAAAGATTTATCTGAAATTATCGAGGACATAATGCGCAGAAAACCTCAGGAATATTTGCAAAATTTAGACCTGAAAATAGTACAACTGGAAGAAGATGAAGATGAAAAGAAGGATGATGTAGAATGCAGTTTCTTCATTGCCAGTAACAAGACCTTAGAGAAAGATTTATTCGAAACCATTTTTGAGGATAGATTAAAATCGGAAGAGGATGAAGAAGAGCAAGAAAAAGAAATGCTGTTTGTAAATCAGAAAGAAAGTAATAGATGCAAATCAGAAGATGATGACAAGGAAGTGTTCGTTGAAGATAGGAAAGAAGAAGAAAATGACAGTGATGACTCGGACGTTGTCTTTTCTGAAAAATATGTTCCTTTGATTGACAGATTGAAGATGAGGCGACAATAGGTATGTGCTATTTTTATTACCGCTATACATATTTACTTTTTTGTACTGAATAATAAAAAAAAATCTTGCAATTACTTGATTGCTGGCAAATACAAATACCCACCTAAAAGACAATTATCCACTAATAGGTTCAATTTTCTTTTTGTAGCTTAGAAGGTAAAACTTTGTATTTAAGAGCATGTTACGTTTTAAATGAGATATAAAAATTTGTGCATACAAATAGTATTTTGAGATATTAAGTTGATATTTTATAAATTAAGCAATTACAAGAGTAAGATGTCTTTTTTCTCAATTTATACTGCTACAACTTTTGGAATAAACAAAAAATTATTTGCACTGCAAAATTTATTGCATTATATTTACATAGTGCTGTAAAACCTGCTCTTGTATACAAAAAATACTTATCACATTTTGTATTAACACATGGGTCACTCTTAAAAACAAAAAGCAAACTAAGAAAATAATATTTCACAAGTGGATGTTTAAGTTACAACATCGTGGTCTTATATACAGTAGTGTGAGCACTCTCTTGGCTACTCAAAAGCGGTGTCTCCCATTCTTGCTCATTCGAATCAAACTCATACAGTTTCATTATGTTACGATGAATTATTTCCTCTTGCTTTCTTTTAACCATTAAATAAACCTATTATTTCAATTAGTAATTTAAAACGAAATGTAAACGCTGTGTGTATTATCTAAAGACTACTCACCAATGCTGACAAAATTATCACAACGATTATAACAACAAGAGGTATGATAAGAAATTTTATATCTTCTTCTAAAATTGGTTCAGGTTGGGGTGGAATTGTTGTTGTGTCATTAGATACGAAAATATCCATAACGTTTCCATAAATACAACTCACAAACCAGTTTTAATATTACATTTATCTATAACTTTTAAAAACAAATATTCACTTAACATTTTGAGAAGTTGGTCTGCTAAAAATAATCACTACAAATGTTTATTGTTTTTAAATTACATAGTAAAAATTCCCTTTCAAGATATTCCATGTTAATAAATGAATGACTAATCAATTATTTATTTATTTGACCGAAAACAATCATTATTTATAATTTGGTGTTTTGATTTTGATTACCAAGAAGTTGGGTTAGATATTTTATAACAGTCGGTTGTTTTTTTTTTAGCAACGGTACATTTGCTAATATTCAGTTGGCAATTCTATGCCATAGAACTATAAGTATAGAATAGAACAGAACTAATGTTTTCGAGGAGAAAAATTTTTTTAGTTCTTCACGACTTGTTTTAATCCAGTAACTTTTCAATTGAGTACATACAGGAAAATGTACTCACTTCAAAAGGTTATTGCGTTAGCGAAACTACAGTTGTGATGAATAAAAATTTGGGAAAAATTTTAATTTTTGCTAATTAAATAATAAAGTTAACAAACGTTTAATAATACTGTTCATTATATTCGTAAACCTCTAACACCGTTGTCAGTTTATATTTATAATTAGTTTGTGTACTTTATTCTGAGATGTCTATATTCTTGCAGTGTTAAGTCGGGATCAATCAGAAGTACGGAAAGAGATAGAAACAAGAAGCTGTCCATTTGCAGTTTTTACAGTTTTTATTTTTTTCCAATATAAAGGATAGGAAAGAGTGGAGGTGCGTGTCCGACTAGTCGTAGGACTGACGACCTTATGATGATGATGAAGTGCACCGTCTAGATATTAATGTCAATAGAGAAATTAGTATTTTTACAAATGCGCCATCTATTGCCAAATGTCACAATCGCCCGTTTCGTTCAGTTCTGGGTGTTGTCAATTTCATGAAAAAATCGTAAGTTTTTAGTAAATTATGGTATTCTCATCGTTTAAATGCCATATAAACACAATGAAGAAATTACTTGGGGCGTTTTCGAATGTAAAATTGACGATTTTTGAAAGCTTTATAAGATAAAATTGGCATCTACGTCTCAAGTATGTGGTTTAAAATTTCATTAACAGTATCCCATAGGGCCTCTGTCTTAGAATATTTTTCATCGTCAGCCGATTTTACTAAATGAGAAGGAACATTTCTAGTATATTTAACAGGTTTTAATTTTTTATGTACTTGTGAAAAACCTGTCGAGAATAAATTTTGACATATCTATTCAGTGGCGTACGTGTCCTTTTACCGGAGGAACACATGCATGGACGTCTTCTAACTTGTATGTTTTATTTGCAGGCCTGCAGAACATCCAAGCAGCAGTGATATGTTTATTCCCACAAACGTTCCAATTCAAGTGCAGGGATCAATTATAAAAATCACCAGTGCAGTTACAATAAAAAATCGTAATAAATACACTTAGCCTTTTTCAAACTCAATATTGGAATTTATTTATTTAACTTGTGAACTCTGGGATCTTTAATTTACTTGCTTATTTTGAAATTCGAAAGTGATTTTTTAACTTATTTTTAGTGTTTTAAGTGTTAATTTAACCGGGAATTTTTCGTTACTCGAAAGTGAATTTTTGAACTCGATTTACAACTTCAATTCAGACTGGAACTGGAAAAAAGATATCCCACCTTTATACCACATGGTACTCGAAACAAGAGGTTTCAAAGTCTTTCCATTGCTGTAAAGAACAAACACCAACCTAATTATCAGGACAATTTACTAAAGACGGGGCAATCCTGCCCAAAATTTGAACAAGAAGTGTAAGTTATAAAATCTAATTTTTATTCTATATTATCTTTAAATTATTATTAATTCATTCATTATTTATTTTATTTATNAGGTCATGTGAAACTGGGGAGGACGTGGCCAGAGCTCTCAGCTCCCAGCCATCCTCCCCATCACCTCATATTTTAAAAGCACAGGTAATTATCATTCTATCTACTCACAATAACAAATAGGGAAGAAGAATTTATTAAATTGTGTTATGGTCTCCAATTAATTAATTCTGTTATTTTTTCAGGGAAGCAACAATTCTTGTTGTAACGTGATTTCGCTAAAGACTGATAATAAGAAACAACAGGGGTGGGACCGATCACTGGAACCGACCAAAGAGGGCAAAGGAGGCAGCAGCGAGCGTCAGGTTGCCGTAACTTCCGGCGTCGCGCCTTTGTCAACTTGTACTGGTAGTAGAGAGAATGTACAATCGCAAACGAGCGTCGAAAAACCAAAACAACAGCAACAGCAGCAGAAGCTCTCGCCGTCCCACACGTCAGTCGATCTTCACCGGAAACTCAGTTCGATCGAGTTCATCGACGATGATATCGACCAGGCGACGTCACCTCACGATGTGACGACGTCCGCCATTATCGACGACGGAAGACGTCACGTGAAAGGCTATCTGACCACTGACGACCCCGGAAGTAGCAGTCGTTGCTCGTCGTCTGGCGTCCCTTCCCGTTTATCGTCATCGACGCTGGGCATTAACAACAACAACAAGTACACGAATATTAACAAGAATAATAATCGTAATAGTAGTAATGGATCGACGAATAATAGTGATGGTAGTTGTGGTAATGGAGAAGCGAAAGCCAAAGCGCCGAAAATTACGGTCTCGAAACGAAAGAGTCGAAAAGAAAGGAAACGTGGGAGTGTCCTGTCTGTCGTCGATTCGGCGAGCGGAAACGACATGAACGACGACGAGAGGAAGTCAAGGTCGAGGAAAAAGGACGTCTCGACGCCTACGACGTCCGTCAAGACGAAAATCGTCGACACTGAGACCACCAAAATGGTCACCACGACCACGCAAGTCAACAGGTAAGAGTTAGTTTTATTTTTGATAGTACATGTGATTAGTATGGTTAATAATGGGTAAACTTTAAACCAGAGGGTTAGTGGAGGCTAAGTAACGTAGTCGCAGCTCCTTTTTAAGTTTAAGTTCCCCTTCCCCGTGGTTTAGAATTCGAGAACTTCTATTTTCATATTTGACTTGTAATTTATTTTTTTATTACAGGTACACGTGGACCCCAATTTCGGACAACGAAAGCACTAAAGAGGATAATATGGACAAAAAACCAGAAAAGAAATCGCGTACGAAAAGCTGTTCGTCGTTACTTGACGAGAAACTGGATATAATCGAAAAACTCGCCGTCTTCAGAAAGAGTTTCGACAACGTGCAGTTTTTCCGGGACGAGGGTCTTTTCTGTAACTCTACTGGGGGCGGCGGCTCATCCAAGAACTCCCCAACAGACGATGCTAGCCCCAAACCTCTCGATTCTTATTCGAAAGATGACTTGAAACCTGTAGCAACCAATTTTGTCGAAAACGTAGTCGGAACAGCTACCAAAATTGTTGAAACTGTTGCAGGACAACAAAATGACCCAATAATAAGACGAAAAAATATTGCGAAAGCGGTCAAGAGTGAAACACGTAAAAGGATAATAGGAAGCGAATCATCACAGTCGCCGAGAGTCAAATGCGAAATGGGAAACGTCAGCCTACCTACCATTCTGGTACCAGAACTGTCTAGGACACCATCTTCTGACCTTTTGACTGCGAAAAATTTTATCGAAGAGTACGAAGAGTATCACGCAAGCTGCTCAGAAATCGCCGACTCCGAAGCCGTCGCCGACTCTGAGGCCGCTGCTGATGAAATCTTGGCAGAGATTGCTGATAATGTCGACAAAATTGTCGCTGACAAGTAAGTAACTTTCTGTAGGCTTTCACGGGCGATGTGAACTTTTTTTCTCTCTTAAAAGACATAGGACTAAGAAGAAGAAAGACAAATGTGTAAAACACGGCGGTGTGACTCACTGCATCCCTATAGAGACTGATTCGAACGTGGACGATGACTCGGACTATCTGCCTAGCGAATTACAACTGGTTCCTTACGACTCAAAGTACAATCTACCTAAGAATCTGTTTAAAATCAATTCCAATGAAATGGTCGAAATAACCGACCAGAATATCGACATCTTGCATCAGAACGTCGAAATTGCCGAAAGCAATCCGGACATCATATCGCAGTCGCAGATAATAGTCCTCCCTCCTTCAGAATCTAAAGGACTTGCCGCTGAAGACGACGAAGATGTGTACAAACCAATCGCTGTCAGTCCGTGTGGACGCTTCTTTAAGTATGAGGAAGAGGTAAAGTTGTTACTCACTTTAGAACTTGTTTTAACAGGGAGGTTAGTCTCTCTCTATTAAAGAGTAAATTCAAAAGTCGGGGAATTATCAGGGATTTTATTTATGTATGGACTAGTTTTTGTACACTTGATATACAAGCATTAACACCAAATCGTAGGCGATTCCAATAATATAAACAAACATATCAATGGAAATTAAGTTGACCAGTGTTTTTTAATTTTATTTTTGCTGATTACAGATCGGCAGGGGCTCTTTTAAGACCGTTTACCGCGGTTTGGATACTCAAACAGGCGTTGCTGTTGCCTGGTGCGAATTACAAGAGAAGAAACTGAACAAAGTCGAAAGGGCACGCTTCAGAGAAGAAGCCGAAATGCTCAAAAAACTCCAACATCCTAACATCGTCCGTTTCTACAACTATTGGGAGTCCATCCTCAATAAAAAGAAGAGCATCGTCCTAGTAACGGAACTGATGCTAAGTGGTACCCTAAAGACGTACTTGAGACGATTTAAAAAAATTAATCCTAAGGTGCTAAAGTCTTGGTGTCGGCAGATACTAAAAGGATTGGCGTTCCTCCACTCGAGGTCGCCCCCCATTATACATCGCGATCTTAAATGTGATAACATTTTCATCACTGGCACGACAGGGTCCGTTAAGATAGGGGACTTGGGATTGGCCACACTGAAGAACAGGAGCTTCGCTAAATCTGTTATAGGTACCCCCGAATTCATGGCCCCCGAAATGTACGAAGAACATTACGACGAAGGCGTGGACGTTTACGCCTTTGGCATGTGCATGCTGGAGATGGCTACCAATGAGTATCCTTATTCTGAGTGCACAGGACCTGCTCAGATTTATAAAAAAGTCATATCGGTAAAGAAACACTATAATATGTGCTTTCCTATATGTATTTTATATCATCTTTAGGGTGTGAAACCTGCCAGTTTCGACAAGGTCGAGAACCCGGAAGTACGTGATGTGATAGAGAGTTGCATTCGACCCAGCAAGGAGGACAGACCGAGCGTTAAAGAGCTCCTCACGCATACTTTCTTCGAGGAAGACGTAGGACTAAAGGTGGAGGTCGTCTCACAAGACGGAAACAAAGTCGTGTTCCGCTTGCGAGTCATGGATCCCAAGAAACGAACACACAAACACAAGGAGAACGAGGCAATACAATTCGAATTTGATATGCAAACCGATCGATATGATACGATTTCAGAAGAAATGGTGAGTAGAAACAAAGCCACATTTGCTTTTGAAATTAAATATACTTAGTTCATTCTCAAGTTACTCTGAAGTTAATAAATTGCTTTTTGTAAAAATGACTTGAATGTTGATCATCAGAGAAGTAATAATAATTTAATTCAAGTTAATAAAACCTTTACCCACAAATAGGCAAAGTCAGGCATAATCTTCGAAGACGATGCGAAGACCGTAGCTCGTTTGCTGAAGACTCAGATCACGCAAATAGAGAAAGAACGTAAAGAACAAGAGAAGCAACAGGAAGCGCTTCTACAACAACTGCAGTATCAGCAGTTCCTGCAGCAACAAGTTGAACAGGCGCAGAAACAAGCTCTCCAACAGTCCCTAATGCAACAGCAGCAGCAGCAGCAGCAACAGCAGCAGCAGCAACAACAACAACAACAACAGCAGCAGCAGCAGCAGCAGCAACAACAACCCCAGCAGCAGCAACAGCAGCAACAACCCCAGCAGCAGCAGCAACAACAACAACAACAACCACCACCCCCACAGCAACAGGACCTTGTACAACAAGACGCAGGACAACAGACGTTGCAGCAAAGTTATCAGTCCCAACAACAACAACAACAGCAGCCGCAGCAACAGTCAAATGTCCCCCCTCAATATATTCGACAACAGAGTGCACCTGGCGAACAACAGCAGCCTCAACAACTCCCACAGCAGACTACACAACAGCCCGTTTATCAGCAGCAACTCTCTTTACAAGTTACTGGTAAGTAAATAACGGTCATTAAACATGTGAATCCGTTCTACTGCAAGTTCGTTTTATTAGGGAGTCAACCAAACGTCGGTCAACCTAATGATCAGGCCCTTTATCAGCGACAGATCTCAGCAGATGCGGCCCTACAGCAGCAACAGATCATCTACAAACAGCAGCCGCAGCAACAGTATGTCCAGCAGGGCTTCCTTAGCGGCGACAGCCAGCCCCAAAAGGCGGAGTTCTCCTCGCAGCAGTTGCAGCAACAATTTATGCAACAACAGGGACAGCAGCAGCAATCTACGCCACAAACTGATTTCCAACAACAACAACAACAACAAGGCCAAGTTCCCCCTGAATATTTACAAGTGCAAGATCAGCATAGGTTGTCGACCATTTCGCAACCGGAACTGATACAAAATTGTTCGCCTAAACAAGAACATCGCCTGAGTGTCGATAGTCAGCTCGATCAACAAAAAAGAAACATGCTGCAAGCTCAGCATATGGCATCCATGAGTTCGCAACCCACTATCCAGGAACAACAGAATGTCGTACAACAACAACACACTACATCGCTTCAAAATCTCGTCCAGGACCAGAACGTTGTAATGCAACAGGTTTCGCAGTCGACTGCCCTCTTCAACCAAAATGGTTCGAGCCAACCGAACCTCAATCAAGAACAGCAGATGCAACAACAACCTCACATTATTCCGCAACAACAACAGATGCCATCTATTGCTACTCAGCAAACGACCCAACAACAACAACAACAGTGTCCGATGATGCAATCTCAACAACCGAATCAAATGATATCTCAGCCGCAACAACATATTATATCCCAACAACAGCCTCAAATGATGTCCCAGCAGCCGCAGATGCCGCCTCAGCAGTACCAATCTCAACAGCAGCAACATCCTCAACCCCAAATGCAGCAGCCTCCTCAACCTCAAATGCAGCAGCCTCCTCAACCCCAAATGCAGCAGCCTCCTCAACCTCAAATGCAGCAGCCTCCTCATCCCCAAATGCAACAGCCTCCTCATCCCCAAATGCAACAGCAACCTCCTCAACCTCAAATGCAGCAGCCTCCTGCATCCCAAATGCAGCAGCCATCTCAACCCCAAATGCAACAGCAGCAGCAACCTCAGATGATGCAACCACAACAGATGCAGATGCCGTCTCAACAACAACAACTTCCTCCAATTATGCAGCAGTCGCAAGTAATTCCCCAACAACAGTCGACCCAGATTATGCCTCCACAACAAATGATGCCACAACAACAACAACAGCTCAATCAGCCTTCGATAATGTCGCAGCCCCAATTGCAAATGACGTCTCAACCTCAAGTTATATCTCAATTAAAGCAGCAACAGCAGCAGCAACAACCTCAAATAACACTTCCTCAACAACAACAACAAATTATACCCAAACAACAACAGACACCGATGGCGCCTCAACAGCAACCCCAAATGACGCATCAACCGCAAAATATGCAGCAACAACAACATCCTCCAGTGTATTCTCAGCAACAACAGCCACCTCCTCAAATATATTCTCAATCTCAACAATCGTCTGTCATGGTACCGCAGCAGCAAACACAGCCAGGTATGGTTATGAATCAACCAACTCAGCCCTCAATGGTTCCCCAAACAACACAATTACAGCATACACAGGCCGAGGTAAGATCAGATCAATTTTTGTGATTATTTTATGGTAACTTTCGAAACTTTTTCAGATATTACAACATCAACAACAGCCTCAAATCGTTCAGCAGCCTCCTCCTTCTCAACAGCAGCAGTCGCAACAGCAAATGATTCCGGTACAAAATCAACAGCAGCAGCAGCAGATTGTGCAACAACAATTGGCACAGCAGACCACTCAACAACAGTCACAACAACAACAACAGATGCAAACGTCAACGTCCCAACAACAAATAGGGAAATCAATAAAGCAGGAACCTTCGCAACACCGTCTCTCGACCGACGTACCTCCCACCAATCTGATGGAACTCCAAGAACAATTAACTAGAGTGACGCAGGAGTGTTCAATAAAAGAACAACATCGACTATCGACGACGTCGTTGCCGCCTAATTTCGAGCCGCAGGTCGAACAGAAACGGAATCTGTCGACTGTGTCACAACCTCCCATGTCAACACATGACTACGTGCAACAGGTAAACTTGCATTTTTTTTTACGATAATCAATGATCGCCATTGCGGAATTTCCTAATTGAACGTTTTTCATGTTAATGGCTTATTATAATTATTATTTTGACATCCGATCGAACTGGGTTAAAAAAAGTTGCCTGATGAATAACAACTGAACTCCATTTGAATGTATTATGGGTCATTTATTTTTTATAGCCGATATTTCAACAACAACCCCTCCCCGAAGGCTTTCAGACTCAAATTTCACAACAAAGCATACCAGAAAGCTGCGAAGATAATGTCTCCCCTCAACCACAACAAAGACATCAACCTTCATCGCCACCCATTCAAGCCATATCGGTGCAGCAACAGACCGTTAGCGAACAACAACCAGAAGTCATCGAAACGACGAGTAGAAAAAACGGAGACCTGGAAATCGCTCCCCCTACCCCCACTGCGACTACCGTACCGAAAGTGATTACTCGTGAATCGTCGCAAGAAACGACGGTGGAATCGGAAAAGGGGGTGGACGAGCAGGACGTGTCATCGTCTACAGAACAAGTAAGTGAAGATTTAAGCGACAAGACGCACCGTAGTAGACGGTCATCGTCGAAACAAGGTCGTCCTAGTAAACAGGTGACGGTGGAGAGGGTGGACGCCGACGGTACCGTCGCGTGTCAACTGGTCTGCCGTCAAAAGACGATCAGTTTCAAATTTAATCGTTTCGACACCACGCCCGACGACATCGTCGAAGGCATGGTGAAGGAGCGGCTTCTCAGACCTGGCACGCACGCGACCCTCATGCGTCAGCTCGAGGACGTCGTGAGGCAGCTGAAAGACAATCCGACAACAGTACCCAAAGTTCAATATGTCGAAAAGGTTAGTTTGTTTCTCTGAAATTACAACAAAAATATGTCTATATTACACGGTTGTTGTGTTAAGTGAGTTGTCTCTGTAGAGACATTTCAGTGAAACTTTGTACATATCGATTAAACCGCACTAAACTTCAATAACCATGTATATATGACATTGATTTTTTCTTAATGATATTGGTTACTTGTCTTCGAAACAATTAAGCATTAATTATGTAAATATCCTATTCTATTCATGCTGCTTACTATCAGGTGAGACATGCTTCTCTCACCCGGCCGTCTCCTCGAAAATTACATAGAAGACATCATTCAGTAAGTCCAATACCCTTAGTTATTGTTTTTTTTTTGCGTATTGCCACTTTATGTTTAATTTTAATTCTCAACTCGTCGTATTGTATATATGTCTGCCCCCCACGTTCTCGTTTTTAGTAGTTTAGTTTATTTAACTCCACATATTTGTATTTTTTTTTGTTTTATTTGTTAAATATATATTCGTAAAAGTCTCAAGGGTAATAAGTACAATGAATCGGCTCCCGCAGGATTCTAAAATAGCCAACTCACTGTGTTGATTATCCTTTGACTTGTTGTTTTTTTCGACCTCTACTAACTGAACGCTTACACCCATAATTTGCAGCGAGATGAGACCACTCAACAAGTTTCGTGTAACAAAATGACAGAGACTGATCTACAAGGTCTCAAGACAACTCTGTCGCAGAACCTTCCTCAAGGTTTGCGTTACAGGGAAAGTCTTAACAGCAGCGGCACCGTTTCGAGGAAAACGAGTACAGCAAGCGACTACACCCCCGAAAACACTTACATCGTGGACAGTCGTCCCCAGGCGTCGACATCCGAACAGACCCGAGTCAGTTATTCAACCACTTCGGAAACATGTGTCAGCGCTGCAGAGTCTGTGACACAACAGTCGTTACAGAAAAACGTCATTACCAAAGAAGATGTACCACCGAAAGTACTGGACAGCAAAGATTTGCCTTTAAAGCTGAGCGACAGTACAGTTTACTCTCTAAATGTGGATTCCCCCAGGACCGAAATGATTTATGATAACTCCCGAAAATTCACGCCTGCTCCGGAGACCTTTTCAGCCGAATCAGGCGCTTCCACGATCGTTGATTTAGACAATAGAAGCTCGAAGGGCTCGATAAACCTAAAACCTGGTCAAAAAGTAGATCTGAAGATCGTCGTTCTACGTCAGGACTCTCAGTCTGCAGAGACAGTCCCTTCAGACTCACATATGCTTGATTTGAAACCTTCCATGACCGAACTTAGCACCACCACAACTGCCAAAGGCGAGGCAGAGAAATACAGCCAAAACTTGGAGGAGGAAAAAGAGAAATTGAAACCTTTAAAGGCACCACAGAGGAAGATATCGCGCTTCCTGGTCAGCCCGGTGCTTTCTGGAAAACTCGACCTGCCGAAAGATAGGAATTTTGGAGGTACCACTGCTAGTGATAGTAGCGAAAGTGGAGTCTCTCAATCTACGCCAAATCTCGACAAAGAGGAACCGAGTCAGACACAGGACATCAAAGAATCTCAACACCAACAAAGCGCACCGTCTTTATCTACCCAAACAGATGACGTTGCGAGCAAGGCTCAGATAAAATCATCAGTTTCGCCCGATTCCGACAAACAGCAGACCCATCAAGACTCTTCGAAAATATCTGCAAGTGCTTCAAAAGTCGACGAAATTAAGAACGGTCCAGTATGCGGCCCAGAGATGATAAACACTCTAGAACAACTGAAAATTAGCCTGCAAAACTTGCATACAAGTCACAAAAAAGAATCGGCTGATAACAGTGATAAGGTGGTCCAACAACAGCAACAGAACACTGGTAACAACACACCTCAACAGGGTGTAAAAACTGTACCCACACTGGCTCAAAAGTCACAACAACAACTGAATGCCACCACCTATTCCGGAAGTTCCTGTAATACGCCCAGTGTCACCCAGCAGCAGGCGTATCAACAAGTACCTCCAACTTATCAACAACCTGTTATAACAGCGCCAGTTCCTCAACAACAACAGCAGCAGCAGCAACAACAACAACAACATCAGTACTCAGTTACATCACAGATACCATACCAAATGCCGCAGTACCAAAATCAGCAACAACAAAACGTTGAAATCCCGCCAATTTCAAGTCAAAAAAGCTCCGCTGATTCATTGCAAAATGTACCCCAATACCATACGGCCCCCGGACAATTCTTGCCGACCTCCACTCAGTATATTCAACCCCCTCAACAACAGCAACCTCCACCATATATTCAAAGTTCCGGACAACAGCAGATTCAAAACGTGATACAGCAGCAACAGGCGCCTCAACCTTCTCTGATAACGTCGCAATCCCCGAACCCAGTACCTCCTCCTCAATACATTCAACCCGTTCAAGAACAGGCTCAACCCCCTCCTCCGGCAACAACGCTCATTCAACCTGTTTCCCAGCAGCAACAACAACAGCAAACTACCGCCTCGCAGTACATTCAACATCCTCAAGCCCCCACAATGACAATACCTCCTCCGTACATTCAATCGACTCCGAATACCGAACAAATGATCGAAGCGCGGGTCCCGCCCACGAACATCTACCATCAGCAACCGCCGGTCGTTTCTCTCGATCAAAGCACCACGACTGCCGGCATTCAACAGACACCAGCTCCAGTTCTTCAGCAACAACCCGCCGCTGTGATATCGTCGCCTCCCATCACGTACCAACCTCCTCCCACTTACGTTCCTCTACCGTCTTCCACTGCTCCCCAGATACCAACGTACCCGGTCGTTCCCCCGCCTGCTTTCATTCAACCTACGACGATTCCATCACAACAGTTAATTCAGACGCCTGTTGTTGCTCCGCCCCCTGCTGTTCCCCTGGCCCAGACGACCATGGTCCACGATCAATCACAGGTGGTGCTGTGCGATCACATGCAGTCACACCACTCGCTCCATAACATTCCCGCTCAAACGAACATCTCTGACAATGGTCAACAGCAACCTTCTTCTATTTTCTACCACTCGCAGCAATCTACATCGATTTCTTCGGTTCCGATGACAATTGCGAGCCATTCAACTCCTTTAATGCCCGGAGCAGCCTCAATGGCGAACGTTTCGCCCGTCTCAACATTCGTAGAGCCCGGAAAAGCTCCCGAACAGATCAAGGGGCTCGTGCAGGACGTGAAGAATGTGGCTGAGATGTGAGTGATACGAAAAACAACGTTGAGGTGTGTTATTTATTAATTTTTATTCGTTTTATTCCAGTTTGTCCACAGCCAACGGCAACCACCAGGTAGTAACAGTGACTCCGATACAAAACGAAGTCCCTCCTCATTTGCAGGCTTTACAGCAGAAATTGTCCTCTATGGCTTTACACGTAAGTGTATAATATTTATTTATTTATTTTATGTACTTCGTACGTTTGCATATTCTTTAAAAGTGTCATTTTATTTTTTCCTGTGATTTTTTACAATGCTGGCAAACAAACAAAAATAATATAAATTTTGATGGTATTTGTTATATTTACTAAACAAATTTTATTTTATAACTAAAAGATAATGTCAATTTCCACAAAGTTGTACTAAAAGCACTTAATAATTGTTTTGCTTTACTAATAATGTTGTCGTTATACCTCTGATGAAGCCTTAGTAAGGCGAAACAACTGTCGTGTGTTTTTAATACAATTTTGTGGATATTATCATTAAGTTTTATTTATAATATGAACTATAAGCTTTTATTAAGTATCACATAAAAGAACTTTTAATTTTCTTAAAGTAATAAACGTAACATAGTTTTAAAGTTAAATGAAATCAGTTTCTTGTAGCTCTTGTAGAATAGTTATTTTAACTCTATGAAAAATTAATTAATTACATCAAATTCGACGTGTTGTACAGTATAAATTTTTTATATTATTAACTATTATTTACTTTTCTCCCCCATTCCTTGCAAGAGATCTC